CTCACTCACTTACCTGTTCGGACGTCTTGTGCCACGGCGACGAAACTGTCACCTCAGCCAAAAACACAAGACTCGTTCTCGCTTCAATAGTTTTTGTTGAGCTGCATGCCTAGTCAACCGGAGAAGGTGTGCAGCGAGCTTGTTAGTAGTTGGTGCTCAGCACGGGTGTCATAGACGGTGCGGTCCGGACCTTCGGTCATTATGTTGCATCGGTGGCTGCAGTTGAGACATACGTTTGATGTTTCATCGGGGTATTGGTTCGTTGGATTAGGGGTTTATGATTTAGGGTCGCTACTCTGACGAAGTGCTCCAGAGCTGTCGCGACTGCTTCAGGAAGCAAAGCATGTAAGCATGGCAAAGAGCTCTAAACCCTAAACCGCTTTTCGCTCTAAACCGTTTTAACTCTAACAGCCATGATCGCTTTGAGCTGGGATGTTTGGCCAGGACCCTGAACCCCTAAACCCTGAACCCCTAAACCCCAAACCCTAACTAAACTCCGGTTCTCAACAACTCCAAAAGCCTAGACCCAAAAACTCTACAACCCTAAAACCTTAAACCCGAAATCCCAAACCCCAACCCTAAATTAATCCCTGATTCTCGACTAAACCCCAAGCCCTGCTTGGCCAGGACAACACCAAAAGCCTAAACCCGAAAGCTCTACAACCCTATAAAACCCTGAACCCTCAAACCCTAAACCCTAAGCCCTCTTGGTGCTTGTGAGAGCAGACATCAAAAAGGAGCTCAAACAAAAAAACCCTAAGCCCTGCTTGGCCAGGACAACACCAAGGCACTGTACAGAAAAAGCTTAGCGGCGGCTCAGCTGGACACGGAGGGGTCCGGGTCCTCAGTCGATTGCATCATAGGGACCTACGCTCGTATAGTTCCACAGGGGTTCGTGAATACTCCTAGGTATTTCGACACATGATTAGAGGGGAGTTTCCGGAAATAGGGGACCCTAATCTAGCACCTTGAATAGTGGAATCCTTATTATAAGGACCCCAAAATAAGGTGCCCATATTTTGGGAAACTCCCATATGGTGATAGTATTAAATTACCCACTATAAAACTGAAAGTGTACACTTTTTGGGGCTTACGAACTCAGCAACTGTAAGATTGTACGGTGACACTTAATCACGTAAACTCCAAAAAACCTATCCACCCTGCACCACTAAGAGCTTCTCAGGATAGTACGTATCTGGGTGGTTGTCAAAATTAGGGCCCCTTTTTCGGTCCCTAATATGTTGCGGCACTTAATAAATATTTAGGGTACCCAAAAAGGTACCCTAATTTTGACAACCACCCATATCTAGAACCTGGAAGGAATCCATAATTAACCCGAAACCCCCAGCCCTGAACAAAAAACACTTGAGGCGGCCGGAAAACATACATTCCTCAGGATCTACGGAAATCACAGCACGAGGAATCCTAAAAGGGTAGGTTCTTTGGGGTGCAGGGGTGCAGGTAAACCCTATAGCCCCAAACCTCCAAAACCTTAAACTCCCTAAACCCTAAACCCCTAAACCCTAAACCCCTAAACCCTAAACCCTAATTCTCTAAAAGCCCTAAACTTCGGCGTCTGAGGCGGCTGGAGGAGGCTAGAGCTGATCTTGTGCGCCTCGCCGCGCTGGAGCCGGCGAATCGCGAGGCATTTATGGGAGTTTCCGAAAATAGGGGTACCAAAGTTTGGGGTGCTTGTAATAAGGGTCCTACTGTACTATTTAGGGTACCATATGGGTACTCTGGTCACCCTAGGCAGGCCTGAAACACGCAACATTGACCCCGTAACCCTGTGCACTAGACCCTTAGCCTTCGCGTGCAACCCTGAACCCAAACCCTGAACCCCGGATGCCCCAAATACTGAACCCTCCCAGAACACAAAGCAATATAGAAGCCTACATAATCAGGCAATCTTCCCTTATTTTGGCTCCGAAGACATTATGGAATACTCCAGCTCACAACCCTGTTCCAAGTATGAAGGCCCCTTTGTTCCTTTGTTAGAAGCCTTCAGCCCAAAACCCCAAACTCTGAACCCCAGACCTTAAACCCCAAACCCTACAGGGAACTCCAGAAAGTTGGCATATGGTTTCAGGGTAGGATACCTTATAATTTACCAGTTTAGGATAATCATATTCCAACTTTCTGGCTTCTACCTTAAACTTTGAACCAGCCAATCGGGCCCCACCCCCACAGCAGAAGGCCCTAAGCCTCTGAGCTTTGAAGGCCAGAGAGCTGCTAGTGAAGGTGAAGGAACGACTGAAGGACTCCCCCGGCGTGGGCTATGAAGGGTTTAGGGTTTATGGTAGGGCTCCTTGAAGGGATGGGAGGTTCCTGGGAGGCTTCTTCTACGGGATCTCTGAAGGTTTCGAGGGTTTGGGGGATTGAGGGTTTAGGGGTCAGGAATAGTCTGTTTGGGCTCTTGCGTTGTCCGATTTGGGAATATGCAGGTTGCTTCGATACACTGGCGGCAGATAAACCCCTAAACCCTAAGCCCTAAACCGAGACCCTTAGACCCTAAACCCAAAAGCCGACTTTATCCATGCACTGACTGCAGTTCGGGTCAGCACCCAGTGCTTCGGCTACTTCGGGGATTCAAGGGCTACATGGTATTGGGAGGCCAGGCAGCGTACCAGCTGTAGCGACACCAGCACTAGTCTCGGAAGGCTCTGATAGTACTCTTCTTACGGTACTGAGTTGAAACATCAATGCTACGATGGAGATTGTTGTGAAGATTCTCGTCGTCACTGTTATGATGCTTCTTGTTGTTTTCATGTTCTTGGTCGTTTCAATATTTGTACAAAGCTGGGAAAACCTAGACCCCAACGCCCCACGCTCAGATGTGCGATCACCCAGTGAAGCTTGCGAAACGAAGACATGTGCAGGACCTCAAGCAGCAAGAGAAAGAGAGGCCGGACACTGTACTTTGGGGTTTCGGGTTCAGGGTCAGAGCCAAGAAGAGTGCGGGGCTTTGGAAAGTTAGGGTTGCCTGAGGGAGTTGCTTGATGATACACTTGTCTTTTTTGCCAGGGGTGTCTATAGGATTTGGGCTTCCCTATTCAGCAGTACCTGATCATATGACTCCTAGTTGCTACTTGGGGTCTGTGTTGGGGTTCTTCCGATAAGCCCACAGGTTCATTGGATCCACATCCTCCAGCAGCTGTGCATTGGGTAAGTGGGTGGTTTGAAGAGTGCGCAGACGCAATGGTGCTTCTTTGCTGGTCGCAGTGTATGTTTGTGGATTTGTGCGTGTGTGTCGCTAGCTGGCAAGACAGGCAGAGACAATATGATTATGCCGATGACACTCGTAAGTTAAGTAAAACCAGTTAATTGCAACTCGAAAATAGTGTGTATCCTCATAGCATGGAATGGACTGCCACAAGCTCGAGACGTGAGCATGTACTGTCCGATTGATTCTCCCTAAATCCATGTTGCGGCAAGCTTCGCGAAGCTGAGTTGTCAGTTGTAGTTATCACTGGTGGTGTCTGCCCGAGCAACGATGCAAACGCCTGCGCACACTGTTCAAAACGAGGCTTTCTGCTGCCATGAAGGGTGGCCTCTACCAGGAGCAGCACAAAAAGACACTTGGCAGCGACTGAGAGGTTCCCCCCAAGTATAGTCTCCTTAGGATTTTGTTTTACTTTTGTCCATATAAAACCCAAGAGAATATAAAAGCAAGTATTTTGTTATGGTTCTAAGGGGATATAGCCAAACTTAGTGACTAGTGGGTCCGAGATGAAAGGATCCTCTAGCAGGGGATGGTTGGGGATCCGCAGTTCAGAACCTTGGGGAGTAATGGAAGAATTTGGGTATGGCTGGGTGAAGCTTCCTACCCATGCACCGTATTCTCTAAGGATCCTAGTACAGGGCCTGTAGTACGAACCTTTGGCTTCTTCATGCAGAGGTTCGTGGATGTGTGTGCGCACACGTGGGTGTGTGTGTGTGTGTGTGTGTGTGTTTGTGTGTGCGTGTGTGTGTGTGTGTGTGTGTTTGTGTGTGTCTGTGTGTGTGTGTGGGTTTGTGTGTGTGTGTGTGTTTGGGATTTGTGCGGTGTATGTTTATTTGGTTCCCACTGCTGGCTTTCTGTCAGATTATAACTACTGCCGTTTCGATCTGCATGTTCTTGATGCCCTTGTAGCCGCTATTATGATGACGACTCTATGGAAATAACCACAGCTCTACAGTCATTGCTACAAGTGCCTGTTCTCGAAGTTACGAGACATATCCAGAGAGCCCAACACCCCTCAATTAAGGAACACACCTTAATTTATCAGGGGACTCATATGGAATATTGGGCTCTCTGGGTATCTACCGGCTCGGAGTCCCTTTTTCCTCGGGGCTCCGGGGTTTTTGCGACTCTTTGGGGGTGGAATTTCAAGAGGGGCGGCCGTGGAGTGTTGTGGAGCAGAAGCCCAGAGAGCCCAATACCCCTTCATTAAGGAGTAAAGCAATATATAGCTTAGCTTATAATATGAATCCCCTTAAAGTTTAAGGTGTATTTCTTAATTAAGAGGTATTGGGCCCTCTGGGTCAGAGCACTGCCTTGACTGCAACGAAAGACCCTCAGCGCCATAGTAGCAATAACAATAATATGAGTAGCAATAGTAGTCACAATAATATCAAAATTAATATTGGTAAGAGTAGCAGTAGAAAAAACAAGAATCATAATCATAATGAGAGTAATACCTGACTGCCAGATACCTCGAAAACTTTGTTCCTGCTGAGGCACGGCAAGCTACAAGCTGCATACGAGGAAGAGGCTTACTAGTTGACAGGAATTGTTCCAAAGGGCTGTAGGAAGAAGACCCGTCACAACATGAGCATCAGCTCCACGTTGAGCATGAGCCTTCCACTGTCATCGTCACCATCATCATCATCATCGTCATCATCATCAACAACCTCAACCTCATCCGCATCCTTGTAGTCCGTCTTGAAGCCGGTTGGCTTGGACATTTAGCCTTGCAGTCGTAGGGGCTGAGAGATCGGAAAGCCCGCCATATCCCGACATGTCTGGTTGCTCTCTTGCAGGGGCCATGAAGGCCGCCCTCTTGGCGTGCTGCCTGGTGGCCGTCTGGGAGAGCCTCCCACTGTTCCTGGACGCACAGAGCTTCGCGAGGGCGCCCGAGAGCGAGTTGATGCATGCGCAGTGGTACGGGAGAAAAATCTTAGAGGCGGACATGGGCGCTCTACGAGCGGCCAAGTCGCGCTCCAGAGCGGCTCGCTCTCTAGAAGCGAGTGATTCCGCCTCTCAAAGCCCGAAGGTGGCGTTCATGTTCTTGTTGCAGGACACTGCCGAGCAGGAGGCTGTCTGGGACGCCTTCTTTGAGCGTGGGAACACCAGCCTCTTCAGCATTTACGTCCACCGCAGCGTGCCAAGGTCTAGCAATGGCAGCTTTCAGAATCTCCCCAACAGCGTGCCCGTGCCATACACCGGCTCCGATTGGTGTGCTCTGTTGGGCGTGCAGGTGGCCGCATTGGTCGAAGCGCTCAGAGATGCCATGAACCAGCAGTTCGTTTTCGTGTCTCACAATGCTGTGCCTTTCAAGGGCTTTGCGCATGTCTACGATAGCTTGATGGCGTCCGTGGATACCTCCAAGTTCTGCTTCGCGACCGGGGAGGATGCGAGAGGCGACTGCCGCTTCAGAGACGAGAATCGCCACCGTGGGGCCCGAGTCCTGAAGCACCACCAGTGGATCGTACTGAGCAGGAGGCACGCCGAAGCAGTGGTCGCGAACGCGGAGGCTGCGCTGTTGAAGTACGCCACGCTCCGCGACGTGCGGGCCGTGGAGTACCAGGACCCGAAGATGTGCAGCGACGAGTCCGTGCCGCTCATGGCGCTACTGGAGAGCTCGGATCTGGGGGACTCCGACGACTCCCTGTGGCAGGAGCTGAGCAAGCTGGGCGTCGAGCAGCGCTGCACGACCTTCACCTACTGGCCCCGGTGCATGGTCAACTCCGAGTTAGAGCTGCCCCTCGCAGATGCCAAGAACACTTCTGTGCACCCACATGCATTCGACGAGATCGACTACCACTACCTCGAGAAGCTCGTGAAGGGCCCTCTGCTGTTTGGCCGGAAGTTCCCGAGGGGGTCGGTGGTGACGAAATCTGCGAGCAGAATCCCTTTGAGCCAAGTACTCCCTGTGATGTGGGCAAGGGCCCCACCGCAGCAGCACTTGCGTCACTTCGCCCGGCTTGATGCTGGCAATGGAGTGAACTCGAGGCTTTGAGCACGCGGCTCGAATACCCTGGGAGCGGCCCCACTGGACAGTGATGGCCTGTCAGACAGGTAGGCGGCTTGCATTGCCTGTCCGCCTCCTTCTGCAGTGCAACTCCCTTCTCATCAATTTTCCAATGCCAATTTTGATTCGAGTTTTGATATGTTTGCACGCCAGCCTTGGGCAGCAACATGGCTGTTGTGGTGAGCGTGTGGTCCATTGGCAGTAAGGCTTGTGGCATCTATTTCTGAAGCAGATCATGATTTGCTTTCCGTGTTGGCCCAGGGCAGCTTGCAGCCTTGCACAGATTTGGCTGGCAACACGAGTTTCGTGGTGTACAGGTACCCAGACGTGAGACCAGTCATGAAGAGAGGAGGCCTGGCGGAAGTGCCATCCTTTGCTCTGACGTGTAATTACCGTATAGTCTGCATGCACGCCTTGCACTGACCGCGATGACGGTGACAGGGATAACAGGGAGGAAGAGGAAGACAGGTTGGGCCCAGAGTGAGGGTGAATGAGATTGTTGATAAAGATACATGCATACTTGTGGAGGATGCTTGAGAGGAGCGTCTAGAGGTTGAGGGTGCTCCATGTGAACGTGGCGTGTTGATAATATGTTTTTTCGGCTCTCTGGACTGATCCCACTTCAAGATCATCGCCTTCTGGGCACCGATAAACCTGGCTTGCCCCTGCTTATTAGGTGCCGTATTATAATAAGGACCCAAACGGGGACCCTAATTTTGGCAACCACCCATATATTCATATAAAGTAGTTCGTGTCATCCTCACCAGCGCTGCCATGACCATCTGCACACGAGCACGGCCGTCGGCCTCACCATCGCCGGCCATCAGCGCTCCAAACCACAGAGTCGCATTTTGAGACTGCCATGCCAGGTCAAACGACGGAAGGAAGCCGGGGAGGAGGAGATCAGCTTCGAGGAGCCTTCGCAAAGAGTTCCGTGCATGGTACTTGGATCATGCTTGTGGTAACCCTACTCTAGGCTTCGATTCGGTCATGCCTTCGAAACAGAGAGCTTGGGCTTAAGCCGCAAGGCTGTTGGGCTCGCCTTCGGGGTGGCTTCGGGTCAGCAATCGGGGACTACGCGCTGCTAGCATTGGTGTCGTGGCTTCTTCTATGTGCGAACACCTTAGATCTTGGGTTCAGGTTGCACCATCTTTTCGGAGTTTTTTAATCGCAAGCTCCGGGCTAGACCAGGACTTTGCCAAAAAGGGTTTAGGGGTTTAGGGGGTTTAGAGGTTTGGGGTTTACTGTAGGGTTTCTCCGGGGTTTAGGGGTTGGGGTTTAGGGGTTTTGGGGGGTCCAGGACTTTGCCAAAAAGGCGAAGGAGAAGGAGGAGGAGCTGGAAAAGAAGCAGAAGGAGCTCCCCCTGGCCTTTTTTAGGGCTTCCTGGGCACGGCGAGCCTCAAGAAACGGGACATGAATTCAAGGCGCCGTAGACGATTTCTTATATGGGAGTTTCCGAAAATAGGGGCACCTCTTACGGGTTGGCAGACGCAGGGCTAACCGCCAGTGTCCTATCAGGCGTGAACTCAGGATTTTTTCAGGGCAGTTTACCTGTAGAAGGGCGAAAGGAGTTGTCACCCGCAAGAGTAATGCAAGACAATGGGTGGGATGTTCCGGGCTCCTCCTTCGGGCATCTTACTATGGATCCCTCTGTTCTTTTGGGGCCATAGTGGAATCGTTAGGCACCCTGACTGTGAACCCCATCATTCCGAATTTATGGAACTGGGCCAAGGGGTGAGCCGGGATCAGGGATCAGGTTTTGAGGACTGGCAAGCTGACAGCCGCTGCTGCAACAGCAGGAACTTTGATGAAGTGATATTGGCAGTAGCGATGATGTTATTGTCGCGCTGCTACAGGGATCTCAAAAGTGTAAGGCCAAGGAGGTATGATGACTCTAGACTGTGGACATTGCATAGCAATACCAGAAACAGATACCGAACCCGTGTCCTCTTAGTCATCAGCTCTTGTTGCACGGATTTTTGTTTCTGTGATACTGGAAGCGGGAAAATGAATACTTCGTGGTCCAAGCCCCGGTATACCCCATGTAGAGGCAACAGCAACAAGTGCCGAGGCCAATCAAAGCCCAGTCCGCCGCCACTCGTAGGCTCCAGACACAGAAAGCAGGAAACTTGCGCAACATCCACCAACTGCGCTGCGAAGACCCTATGGAGGGCCGAAGATGTTGCCAAGTAACGAAAGCAGAAAGAACAAGAACCAAAGTCCCAGGTGATCCATCCGAGGGATGGAGGTTTGCATGGGAAGCAAGAGAAATTGCAGAGCTGTAAGCAGCCGTCACTTTGCATGTGTCAGAAAGCACACATGCCTTTGACCCGAAGGCGTGCTTGCAGTCAACAACATATTGGCACAAGAACCCCCGGAACCCCTCCATTTCGCTTGAGTCTAACAGAAGATCCCCGCAAGGAGGATGCCAAAAAGCGAAAGGAGGAAGAGCAGCTGGAGGAGGAGAAGAGGCGGGAAGATATAGCGTGCAAAAGAAACATGCACTAGATACCGTATGCTTTCAATAAATCTTACCATTCACCCCGAAACCCTATTCTGAATGTGAAGGCCCTATATCAGCCATTCCGCAAGTTGAGTTGATAGTGGCGAGTGCTTTGAGTATGGTTGTTACAGTCTTAGGGCTTCACGGGACGAGGAGCAGGGCTAGAAATCGTTAGGATTTGTATTGTATAAGACTGGCTTAAAATATCTGGACATTTTGAGGACGCTTGCCGCGTACCTTCAGCTACCAGCTCAGGCAAATCACGCTACCAAGACCTGAAGTCCCCCAAAACCCCTAAACTCAAAGGGGAAAAGGAGGGACCCTTAATGGGGACCCCTAGCCTATAATGGGCTATATATTGGGTAGATAATGGCTATATTATGGGTATATACCTAGGGGTCCTTATTAGGGGTCCTTCCTTTTATGTTTTGATAAACCCTCAGGCAAAACCCGACAACCCCAAAAGCCTCCGCAAGACTGTCGTGGAGGCAGCTCGCCCTAGAAAACGCCCGCCGCGCTGCCGACGGAAAAGCCGAGCTCTCTTTAGAGGCCCGGAACTTGAGGTTCAGATGTCGGGTTTACGATTCTTGCAGGGCCTAACTTGCGGGTTCTGAGCTATTAGTAGTGGAGTCCCCGTACTCTAACCCTTATACATGTACTTTACTTACTAGCCACGGAGCTCTCGGGCTCCTTGTTGGGTTCGTGGAGTTTCTCATTCATCTCCGACTGACGGCTTCCGCCTTTGTGACCCCAGCATCCCGCCGACCGGCTCGATGGCTTACATGGGGGCTTCAAGACGGGGAGGGTCCCCACATCTGAAGGTAGGGTTTAGGGTATAGGGTGCCTCTTCGCAATCAGCTGATGTGAAGGGTAACTGGGCCGACAGGGCTGCAGACAGGTGTGCTCCTCATGGAAGATCCTGCTACCTGCGTTTCCACACACGGGTGTTCTTTCCGTTGAATCACTTTGAGAAACCTCCCGAACGCCCTGCCTGGGACCCTTTTGAGGTACCTGGGTCCTAAAAACCTAAAATCCCCAAGACCACGCGCCTGAACGAACGTCGTCGAATATACTATAAGAGGTTGTATGATAACATAGTGTATATGGTGGCCATGAAGGGGGGACAGGATTGCCTACACCCCATTTAAACCCCCAGACCCTAAACACCTAAGCCCTGAACCCTAAAGCCCTAAAGCGCTATAGCCCTAAGCCCGAAACCCTGTAGTCGTGAGTATTCAGAGCCTCCGCGGGAGAGAGACGGAGAGAGAGAGAAAGCGAACAGGATTGGCGGGCCGAGGTCGCCAAGAAGGCCTTTTCCGGGGGTTGGGCTTTAGGGGTTTGGGAGTTTTTCTTAGAGTTGAGAGAGAGGTTGGGGTTTAGGGACTTGAGGTTTGGGCGTTTAGGGTTTATTTGGGGATGCGGAGTTTAGGGGTTTGTAGGGGTTGACGGATTGGGGGCGTGGGGTTCAGTGTTCAAGGGTTTATAGGGCCTCTCTTCAATCGGGGGGGGGGGGGGTCTTAGAACTTCAGAACCCTGTCAAGCTGGCGGGGGCAATCCAAAAACTCATCTGGTACTTTAGGGTAAACTCACAGCCCTTGAGAGATTGTGCTGTAGAAGAGATTGCAGGGGGTTACGATTTCATTGCAATCTTATCCTGAGGGTCCATTAAACCCTGAAGCGGAGCACTGCTTTTCCGCCCATCTCCAAAACCAGAGGCTGCTGGGAACGTTCCTCAATGCTTAGAATTAACTTCCCCTCGAGTTGCCTTCCTGATCTAATTTTGAACCTTGCGCATGTCTGGTCCTGTCATCTCCAAAGAGCAGGTTGATCTTAGCAGGTTTTACACGGGGCAATCTTGCCACTTCGTGCTCTCATGGCTCATTCGGTTTGGGAAGCCTCGTGTGAAGCTCATTGCCTGAAGCCCCATAGAGCCCACTGCACCCTCCAATACATTATATACTGTAAATATGACCTTTCATGTATACATATTACATACTTCAAGTATGTAATCTGTGTGTGGCAACAAGACTCTACCAGACCAAATTAAATACTCCTGTGTGACGTTAGCAATTACATTTCAAGAAGAGTGGTAAATTTCTCACCTATCCCGAGGATATGCAAAGCAAATCCTCAACATGTCTCGGCCAAGCCCCTACCAAACTGCTCAAAACTGCAATGCATTCTCACGCACGCCTAAGCCCTAAATCCCAGATTGTTAACCAAGAGCAGGTATATAGCCTAAAATCCGCAAGACAAGCGCTCCCGCTGGAAGTCCATGGGTCCGTAGATCCTTGAGCCCAAACTCCTAGGACCCCTACGAGCCCCGGGGGTTTAGGATCTACAGGTTTTTTTCTCAGGATTCACAGGTTTAGGGTTGGGTCCCTTGCATGCTAAACACAAGATGTGCACGAACTCTCCCCAAAACCTCGAGCCCAAAAGCCCCAAAAAAGCCAACCCTAAAGAATCCTGTTTGATAGTAGTGGCC